ATTCACGTAGCTGAATTTGCATATCTTAAATCGACTCCCCGCTGTAGTGTAGATGTACCCTAAGAGTTCTTAGCAGGTGAAAATCTTCTCAATCTTCCACTAATCTAATATGGCATATTTGGGCCTTTGCATTTTAAAATGTTAATCTTTGCAGCACTGTGTACCTGTTACTTTTCTGCACTTTCTTTGTTAAACATCTGCTTCCTAATTTATACAGAAATGACTACTGTAGAAGGAATTAGGATTAACTCTAGTTTTCAGAGACCTGTATTTTCCCATTAACCTGTGAGCATAACTTCAATGTTATATATTTTTCTTCTCCCTGTGAACAGTTGCTGATACCACTCCATTTGCTATTCAAGCAGAGGTTACAATGAGGACAAACTTTTTTGCAACAAGGGACGTCTGCACGGAGTTGCTACCCCTCATAAAGCCTCATGGTAAGTATAACCTAACAAATACCAAAGTATCATTGAGAATAACTCTTGCTTCTCACAAGGGGGAAAACCCTACCCTCTGTTAGGAATTCGCTGCCCACAGGAGTACCAGTGCATTTCTGCTCCATCAAAAGTAAGAAGACAAGAATAGCTTGCATGCACGTCTTGACGTACAGAATGTCTCTGCTTTTTAATCTAAAGTTGCTTCTATTCCAATCCCTTTCTTTACTAATGGTTTATTCTGGAAGTGCTTATCTGTGCCATGATGCAGAAATGACGGATTGTCAATTGCCTCATCTGTCCTTGCTTCAGACAAGAGGAAATGGGGATATTTCAATGTTCTGCTTGCTCACAAAAATGGAGCACTGAGGCTGAGTTCAGTGTTCTGTACAGGCTTGCACACAGTCATTGAAGAAACCTAACTCCCTAGTCTTGTTGCTGTCTCCCTGCAGAGAAGTTTCACTCTATGTACACTGCAGCCCTTGTTTTGGGAGCTGACACATTTGTCAGCATCGGGTATGCCATTAGAAATACCATATTATTTTGAAAGGTAGTGAAAATCATCCCATGTGGCGATAAATGCTACAGGATGAAAGAGTTGTGTGGGTCCACACAATAATGGTAAACCGAATAGGAGAGGCCAGGATGAGACATACTAAACTCACAAATATAACAGTTTTATTATCAACAGACAGATGATCTGCGCTTCACTGTGCGTGCAGCAGTTCTGTTTTTCCCAGCTGAACCTCTGGGAATGTCTTAGAACCCTGTGACGTCACAGGTGGAGATGTTTGAAAGGGACATAGGTCAAACTTTCCCCAAAATCTAGGTTTTGTAAAAACTTGTTTATACAACACCAAAAACCAGTAGAAAAGGTGCCATGGCTTTGTTCAAAACCAACAAACATTCCCATACTATAAAGATAAATGATCTTGAAAGGATATCTGTACTTATTTAGATACAGTTTTTATTTCTGGAGGGTGTATTTGGGTTTTTAAGAGACCACTCCTCTTTTCAGCACACATCCCAGATAATGACTGTCCACTGAGGAACCCTACAGAAGGAAGGAATCCCACACACATTCAATATATGGGAGGATTGGCTGACCGAGATGTGCAGTTGCAGAATCAGTCGTCGTCTTCCCTTTTTCCCCCACCCTGATGCTGGGACACACATTGCACTCTGTTGTGTGTTTGGCTTGCAGATCCCCTTCATGGGCTCCATACAGCCTGCCTCCCCTCAGTGCAGTGGAACCATATTGCTTTTATTGCATTCAAGGCCCTCCTAACCTGTAGGTAGGACTCTTTCCCTAGGAATTTTGAGAGACCTCTTCATTCATACCAATTTAAAGTAGAAGGGAGAACAAAGTTCCTATCAAAAGTCCCATGCCCCAATTTTGCAAACACTGCTGAGGGGAGGGTTTACTCTTGTACATAGGCCCATTTCTGTTTGTTGTTGTGGTGGTTTTTTTTTTTTTTTTATGGGATTATTCATGGAAGCATGGTGTTTGGTAGTGAGTGTTTGCAGGATCAGGATTTGTTTGTTTATTCAGAAATATCCCTATTTAAAATTGTAGAGGTGGGATATGTCAAATATTTGCTAGCAATTCTATTACATCCAACAGTGTGTTTTGGTTTGGTTTTTAAACTGTTCTGAAAAGCAATCACCATACATAGACCTTCGTGGAGCACTTTTCAGGATCAAGACCTAATATTGTGTATGGGCATGTTTATTTTATATATTTATTTATAATTTTCTTTTAATAGGCAGAGTAGTGAATGTATCTAGCATGGGAAGTGTATCCGCTCTGGCAAGATGTAGCCGGGATCTGCAGCAGAAGTTTCGTAGTGACACAATCACTGAGGAGGAGCTAGTGAAACTCATGACAAAGTTTGTGGAGGATACCAAGAATGGAGTGCATGAGAAGGAGGGCTGGCCAAATACTGCTTATGGTGTGACCAAAATTGGAGTCACGGTCTTGTCCAGAATCCAGGCCCGGATGTTGAACAAGGAAAGGAAAGCTGATCGAATTCTTCTAAATGCCTGTTGCCCTGGATGGGTGAGAACCGACATGGCAGGTCCCAATGCCACTAAAAGTGCAGATGAGGGAGCCGAGACTCCAGTTTATTTAGCCCTTTTAGCCCCTGATGCTGATGGGCCTCATGGGCAGTTTGTTAGTGAAAAGAAAGTGCAAAAGTGGTAATCCTTTATTTGTATATGTGAGATGCAGTCCAGAAACAATATCAGATATTACTAATTTATTGTTGGTACCAATAATAGTTAAGCATCTGTAAATGTCTTTGCCATTTCTAATATCTTATTAGGGTTTATAGAATATACACAAGGTTTCTGCTATTGCAAAATAATTGCAGTTTGGAATAGTGCATGAATTAAACTGTGCCTTTAATTCAGTTTTTAAAGGTATGAAAAGTGTTGAAATAAAAAAGTATAGTTTTATAAGCTAAAATGCATTTGTTGAAATTTATATTCTCTTTAGTGGTGGTGGGGGGAAGAGGTGTGTTCTTTTTAGTGATTTCACATACTGTTCCTGGTGAGATTATGATGTCTAACTATTTGATCTTAAAAGTAACCATATCAGTTTGAAATAGAAAGTCATTCCATTTTAAGTGAGATGGCAAAGATGGATGACTTGGCATAGATTAATGTGAAACCGTTCCTGCAAATATATTCTCAGCCCAGAAGTCCCCAAGAGACTGCTTATGCTGTTTAGTTGAATGCTTCTTCAAACTCTTCAGTATGTAGGGCTTCATTCTGCTCCCACTGAAGTCAGCAGCAAAATTCCATTGACTTCAATGAGAATAGGATCCAACCGGGGACACTCAATCTTCTGAAGCTAAAGAGTAGTTTGATAATTCAAAGTAAAGGCTTGGAGATACTAGATCTATAGTCAGATTCACCCTGAGAGTAATTTTTAGCCCATTGTAAATTAATTCACATTTTGTATTTATTCTCATGCCCACAGTGAATTAATAAATTCAGGTAGTCATAGCCTTTTGTCCACAGCTTCAGAATAAATTAACCTAGTTCCTATGGTAACAAACAAACAAACAAAAATAGGGTAACATTTATTGCTGATTTTCACCTCACTCTTCTAATACTACAAAACATGAACAGTTCAACTGCTTGATAAGTGCCATGTAAACAAATAATTTTAATTTATTGCAGCTCTATGCTGAATGCCCTGACCAACACACCCAAGAGAAGCAGTGAGAACTCTGTGGGGTTTTTTTTTTTTTAAGTATTTTTATAATTCTTTCTCCCAAACTTTCATCCCCAGGCTTCTATGCACAGATTGAGTTGTAAGGATAGCAGATAAACCTGATTTATCAGGATTATTTTAGATTGTAACTTCATTAGGACAGGGACTGTCTCTTACTATGCATTTGTACAATGGGGCCTTACATTTATGCTTAACACAGTGACACTTTGACTGAGGTTCACGAGCCGCAAGTGGCTGTTTAATGTGTCTCCTGCGGCTCTTTGCAGCAAACGATATTAAAACGCAGTGTGATTTAATTATTAGCCCATCAGGAGGTTCTTACTATGTTAACCAATTAAGTTATCAACTTGCACTAAGTTATTAACTTATTTGCTGTGAGAATATTCTAGATATATAAAACTAAATATTTCCCTGTCATTCATATTACTGTGGCTCTTCTTGGTAATGTTGATTGTTAATTTGGCTCCTGAACCACTGAGATATGAGTATCACTGCTGTATTAAATATAATTTAATAATAATACCAAATGGAAAAACTTATTCAAACTGCCTCCCAGGCATACTCCACAACACAGAAATACCACTCGTCTGGCCTTGTCCAATGCTTGTGATCTGAGCATAAACAAGCACACTCCCAAATGAAATAGTGGAAGTGAAGCCACCTATTATTGCAGCTTTACTACATTTCTGCATATTATAGCCACTTTCTGTTTCACTCAGGCACCAAAAATATAAGATCACAGGTGTATGTTGGGGTGGTTTCTGAGACCTCATCAACCTGGTTCCCAAGAACTCCACTCTACTCCAAATTCATTACTGAGGTTTCTTTACTGGCACACAATCAAACTATACTTGAGTAGATCAGGATGAAGAATGGGAGTGGGTACAAGGGATGCCAGACATCCAAACTTCCTGCCTTAATGTAGATTTACACTTCACATTACATTCACTATACATTGCAACACATGTGAGATTGGCTTGGTTACTTTGGAGGAACCAATCTCTGTACAGCATGCTCTATCCACATGGTATCCATGTTTGACTTGACTTTACTTTCTGCCTCATCTTTACACTCCCAATTTCCCTTGTCCATTGGTATCTTGTTCTTAGTAAATGGTTCCCTGGTGTTCCCCCACTTATATTAGCGAGCTCAGACATTGTCTTTTAGCTTACTGATCCATTTGCTTATTTTAGCACAAACATTTCATTTTCAGCCTGCTGATCCAGTTACCTCCCTAATCCTGTCTTCCAAAAAATGAGGCTTCCCCTATATTCAATTACGTATGTCAAGCCATCTTCTATTCCATTGCTTTTCTTTTTATTTCTTTTCTTTTCTTTTCTCCATAATTATTCATTTCATTTGTATCATCTTCCTGTCTTTTTGTGCCTTCTTCCTAAGTTTATTACCTTGCAACACATTCCCAATAGTTGTAATTATTTGAATCCCCATAAATACTAGGCTCAAAGTACGAACCAGGACCTGGGGGGAGCACTGGGGTCGGGGCTTCAGCTCCGCAGAGGGCACTGGGGCACACAGCCACCTGAAAAACAAAACACAACCTATTGTGGCTCTTCTTTGGAGCCCTTATTGGATTTTAATTAAGTACCATGTCTTGTTTACATTCCTTTTACTGTGTAAATTGCACATGTAATAGAAATGTACATTCCTTTCATAATTTAACCTCTACTTTTTACTTGCTATAACATATTAGGCATATCAATGTAATTATATAATTACTATTATTAATAATTACTTTTCTTCTGCAGCTCTTTTAGCTGTTCCTTTATTACTGAAAATGGATACAGGGTCTCTTCCCCATAATCCTGGGTGTGGCTGCCCTTTAAGTCCCTACTTTTATTTACTAATTTGTATTTAACATTTACAACTTAATTTAAAAAATGTTAAACGTTGTAAAAGTATTAAGACACCCCAAGTGTTAATTAACAAAGTTAAGGCTGCCAGGAAACACTGGCTGCTGCCCAAAGAGTGTCTTGTCAGCTTTGCAAACCTTGAATGAAAGATTCAGATGGATTTTTAGTGGAATCTTTTGAAAGCCACATGTACATTTTCTTTTTAAATAGATGTTTTCTTAAATTCTGAGGTCCCTTGCTATGTTGTATTTATGTATGTTTATTATGAGAGACCAAATAAATATTTTAAACTTGCTAGGTTTAGCCTTGCCAGCTGATCCTTTGAACTTCTTTCTTTTCTAAAATGGCTTTATAATCCTGAAGTTTTCCTTTCATAAAGTGCAAGTTATGACACATTTAAGTTGCTTACATTTCTGTAACCCTTCTGCCAGGTTGAGGCAGCAGCAACAAGAGTTTACATCTCTAAACTGCAATGTTCATATTTTATATAAAGCTTTGAATCAGGGCTGTCAATCGCAATTAACGCAAGTGATTAACACAAAACAAATTAACTAGATTTTAAAAGTCATAATTAATCTCAGTTTTAATTGCACTGTTAAACAATAATAGAATACCAATTTAAATTACAAAGTGCTCACCTTATATTATTACAAATATTTGCACTGTAAAAAAGATAAAAGAAATAATATTTTTCAATTCACCATATACAAGTCTACTCGGTCTTACTTCTTGTTCAATCACTCTCTAAGACAAGTTTGTTTACATTTATGGGAGGTAATACTGCCTGCTTCATATTTATAATGTCACCAGAAAATGAGAACTAGCATTCACATGGCACTTTTGTAGCCGGCATTGCAAGGTATTTATGTACCAGATATGCTACACATTCGTATGCCTCTTCATGCTTCCACTTGTAGGCACTAAAGATTTACATTTTGTTTTGAGTTCAGTTATGTTTAAAAAAAAATTGTACATTTGTAAGTTATACTTTCACAATAAAGAGATTGCTCTACAGTACTTGTATGAGATGACTTGAAAAATATTCTTTTTTACAGTACAAATATTTATAATAAAAAATAATATATAGTGAGCACTGTACACTTTGTATTCTGTGTTGTAATTGAAATCAATATATTTGAAAATGTAGAAAAACATCCAAAAGTGTTTATAATACATTTAAATTGATATTCTATTATTGTTTAACAGTATGATTAAAACTGCAAGTAATTGGGATTTTTTTTTTTTAATTGTTTGACAGCCTACTTCGAATAAGTTCTTCACAGGCAAGATAACTTTTTTGGCCTGGGCTCTTATAACTGTTGTATCCTGGCTACATTTTGTTTTACTGCTGTTTTCTCTCCTTTATTTTTCTTCTGTATCTAAGCTGAGACTATAGTAAGATCACTGTTTTTTCTGGCAGGCAATTCCAGCTGCTGTTTCATTTATTTTTTCCTTTAACTTAGCACTACAATTTTTTACCTCCCTTTTCTGTGCCAACGTTACATTCCTACTAGTACATTTGGAAGCAGTTAAGCCATACAGAAATCGCTGTTTCCTTTAGTGATTTCAGCTCAATCATCCATAGTAAGCCAATTTCAGTCAGATTGTCTCTGTACCTGCAGCAACTAGCACAATTGCTCATTTACAGACACATTCATTGGGAAGGGTCCATTTCCTTCAAAATGGCTGACAAGGCTTCTCAGGAGGGAAAAGCACATACTATAGTCATGGTAGTCACCACCACTGACCTCCCCTTTGCATAGTTTGTTTGATTACTAAAGATTTCACCAGGCAGGACTTCACCATGTTATACTGCCATAACTGGCTTTCATTCTCAAACCAAGCACTCTCTTTTCTTTAAAACTTTTACTCTTTAACATTTCCCCAACCCCGACTGTTCAGCTCCCTTGGAACTCTGCAGTCTTAATTTGTGCAAAAGCTCCTTTAAGTCCTCACTCTTTTTCCTTAAATCACTTACTTATCTCCCAAAGTGACACATGTCTCAGCTGGGATAACCAGATGCCCCAATTTTATAGGGACAGTCCTGATTTTTGGGTCCTTTTCCTATATAGGTTCCTATTACCCCCACCCCCACCCCTGATTCCAATTTTTCACACTTGCTGTCTGGTCACCCTAGTCTCAGCTGAATTCTTTCGGTGGCTCTAAACTTATTTTTTATGTTTTTTGCATTTATTTCTTAATTTAGTACACTTTGGAAAGCTGTACTCCCTAAATCAGGGGTGGGAAAACTACAGCCCATGGGACGGATCCGGCCCACCAGCCATTTTAAGCCAACCCTCCAGCTCCCTCTGGGGAGAAGAGTCTGGGACTTGCCCGGCGCTCCAGCTGGGGCACAGGGTCGGGGGCCGCTCCACACGGCTCCCGGAAGCAGTGGCATGGCCCCCCTCCGGCGCTCCAATGGGAGATGCAGGGCGGTGCCTGCGGATGGGGCAGCGTGCAGAGCCGCCTAGCTGCACCTCCACATAGGACCCCAAGAAGGGACATGCTGCTGCTTCCGGGAAGGTAAGCGCGGCCTGGAGCCTGCATCCCGGAGCCTCCCTCTAACCCCCCACCCCAGCCCTGATCCCCCTCCTGCCCTCAGAACCCCTCGATCCCAGTCTAGAGCACCCTCCTACATCCCAAACTCCTCATCCCCAGCCCCACCCCCCCAGCCGGAGCCTTCATCTCCCTCCTCCACATCCCACTACCCCACCCTAGCCCGGAGCCCCCTTCCGCAACCTGAATTTCTCATTTTTGGCCCCACCCCAGAGCCTGCACCCCCAACCAGAGCCCTCACCCCCTCCTATCCCCAATTTTTGGAGCATTCATGGCCCACCATACAATTTCTATTCACAGATATGGTCCTTGGGCCAAAAAGTTTGCCCACCCCTTCCCTAAATACAGTCTTGAAGAACAGCTGCTTTTTACTCTGGATGTACGCTAATAGGTAAGAAATTATTTTCTCCCTGACCTTTCAGGAATCTTTTCCATTTAATCTGGTTCCCACTCTACACCTTTTGTTGCTCTTTATGCTTTTCATATTCATCCCACAAGGCGGCACATTTTGTTTGTAATGTTTTAGCCACCAGAAATAATCTTTGTGAAACTACTGCCTCGATTTGGGCTTTCTTTGCCTTAGGATAAAAAAAAAGATACTATTTTTCCATGGCTACCAATGGGTCCTATTTTTTGAAAATTTCAGTGGCATTCACCAGATCTTTGCTGTGTTCTACCTAAACATTTTTTTTCTCTCTATCTCTAATACCACACTCTGGAGTTCCTTTTTCACCCAGTCTCCCACTAATACTTCTCTGGGGAGGACATAGGGCCTGCCTTTAGATTTAACCTACTTCTCCAGCATGGTACTAATTTCTTCATATTTAATCCTTTAAACCCTTCCAATATAATTTCCCTTAATGCTGATTGCAACCCTCATGCTAAGCTGTGTATATGTTACCTGCTCCAGACAAGCAGATCTGAGTCACTGCACCAATATGTTGAAGTAGCCTCTAAGACTTTATCCACTCAGGAATATGTTGGGGTGGCTTCTGAGACCTTATCCACTCAGTAGCCTCCATGACCTTATCCACTCCGTTCCCAAGAACTCCACTCAACTCCAAACTCGTCACTGAACTTCCTTTATTAGCATTCAATCAAACTACGCTGGAGTTGATCAGATTCAAGCTTGGGGTTGAATACAGGGCATACCGCACATCCAAAGTTACACAGATACCCCCTTCCTTTATATACATTTACACATCACATTACACTCACTATACATTGCATCACATGTTATGGTATTTTCTTGGTTACTATGCAGGAACCAATCACTGTACAGCATGCTCTTGTCCATTGGTACAGTACCTTGTTCATAGTAAATGGTTCCCTGGGTGTTCCCCCTCTTATCTGAGCAGGGCCGGTGCAACCACTGGGCGAACTAGGCGGCCGCCTAGGGC